AAACCGCGTAATTTTGATTGTGACCTAAATCATAGAAATCTTTTGACCCATAAAAGGGTGTCGCCCGTGTCTGTTTATATCAACATGCTATAAAGCCAGGAAATATAATATCATTGTTTTCTAGCTTCTCGGCTAAAATATTTCGTAACTGCACTAGCCCCCAAAATTCCTGCGCTTTCTGGTGAAAACAATCCATTTTAACTCTGAGAAACTGGCTCCAGTTGTTTATCCACCTGAAAAATCGTTATCCAAAGGACATGAAGTATTAGGGACACCAACTGCCCTATCCGTTTGATACTGAGATTTATTCAGTGCATAGCGTTAGTCACCTTTTGAACGACTGGGGCCTGGAACTTAAACACAAAGGTGGCAAATTTGTGTTCCAGGAAAAAATACACGTTTTAATGTCAACAGTCTTTGATACAAAAATGCTAAAAGGAGGAAGCCGAGAAAAATGGGACCGGAGAGAGAAATGCAAGATGGAGGAGGCGGGAGCGGTCTGGACCCCTTGTTTCAGCCAAAAATAGAGTGTAATTAAATAAGATAATAATAATAATAATATTTAATACTTATATTGCGCTCTTTCTATAAAAATACTCAAAAGCGCATTACAATATTATCAATAACTAAATTAAAAACCAGTAAAATTACCCGGTAAAATTACAATATTTAAAAATAAATAAATAAATAAATAATCTAACTAAAAGCCTTCTTAAATAAATATGTTTTAACAGAGCGTTTAAAAGAGTCGATTGATGTTTCCTGTCTTATTGGCAGAGGAAGACTGTTCCATAAAAAGGGGGCAGCCATCGATAACGCGCGATCTCCCAAAGGCTTGTTCGTTCTTAGCCGAGGTCTTTCTAACAATATACCATTATTGTTACGGCGTAGTTGGTAACGTGAGTCCGGTAAGACAGAGACAAGATCCTTAAGATAGCTAGGCGCAACACCGTGAAGAATCTTAAATGTAACAAGGAGAATCTTAAAATCTACGCGCAAGCGCACTGGTAGCCAGTGGAGTTCTCTTAGCAAAGGAGTAACGTGACAATACTTAGGTGCGCAGTAAACCAATCGAGCACTGGCAAAATTGACTTTAACGGAACACGTCAAATGTCAACAGTACACATGTTTGATGGTGTAAAATTCCGGGGGAAGGGGCTACTCACGATAAGATTTACATGGTTTTATATACCATTTTCACTGAAAAGGTACCTCTTTCGCATACTTTCCATTGAAAATACTACCCGACTTTTACACGGCCTACCTAATAAGGGTGACTCGCTAAAACAGGAAGTGTTTATGTCATTTTAGAGTAACGTTTAAGAAATGAAAATGATATAGCAATTTTATTTAAATACTTAAATGAAAGAGTTTTGTATCCTTTCATTTACTTCAACAGTGAATTTCGGGCAAAACCTCCGGGTATAAGCGATTGTAGAAAGCCCCTAATCCCCCCACCCTCCCTGGGTCTAAAGCGTCGTTGAAAAGCCGGCTGTTCTGTTAAATGAATTTTGACTTCACAAACTGGTCTCACGCTTGCTACTAATTCTAAAACTAAATGTGGGACAATCTTCTAGCGTTGCTTGATGAAGACCTGAATGCATTGTACAAGTTTAAATTTGATTTCAAGTTGATTGTCTATCTACTGTGAAGTGACTGTACGTTGTTCGGCACGGGTGGTCGGCCTGATTGTCGTATATTTTAGGAACGTTTTGTTGCAATACAGTAAAAACCCGCAACTAAGAACCTGAATTTTTCCAAGTTAGCCTAAACAGGTTCTTACAGAAAAGGTAATTAGCACAAATTTAGCCTATTTAGGTTCTTAAATAGGTTCTTATTTTCTAAAGAAAAAATGGATTGTAGCTAAGAGTATTTAATGGTATCCATTTTAATAAAATCTGCATAGGTGTTCAGCTTCGATTCCCTAATAAAATCTGCATACATTACATTCTGCTCAGTGCATTGCAGTTGGACGGACAATTCTTCAAGGATCCTGAATGATAACTTATTTGCTCAATCTTACTCTATTTCTTTTTATAGATTTTAGAAAATAAGAACCTGTTTCAAATTTTTGGCTTAACTGGTTCTTGTACATCGAAGGGGCCTAACGGGCAAATGTTAGCCTAAAAGGTTCTTAAAAACAAGGTTCTTAGTCACGGGTTTTTACTGTATCCCACTACCCTTTATACATGAAATTTTATCATTATAAAAATGAATTCCTAACAGCATCTTTTTACCACGACGATGGAGACCGAAACAGGAACAGCTGAGAACTAATAACATGTAATAAATAGATTTGTTTTAGGAGCGGATGTTATTTCCACGGTTGGTCGATAATTTTTTCGTAATTTTAAGACTAAAGCCAGATTGACTTGATTGATCGAGGTCAGTGACTATTCAATTCCTTACCAATGATTCAATCACGTCCCCGTCGATATGATCAGGTTTTCATTTTTCGTACATTTATATCAAGTTTTTTTTTTTTTTAGCCAAAACAAGCAAACAAGTGTTTCACTGTAAGACAGTACACAGGACGCGGAATTCACTAGAAACTCAAAAGTTGTCGACAGAGAAATTATGATTACATTAGTAACTCACTTGAGGTACAATCATTAAAGAGTAGCGAGGATCGTTAACTGCTGTCTCACTTCGGGGATTAAAATCAACATTCATTAAGATAACTGGCGATATATATCAAAGAAGCCATCAAGGGGAATGAAAAGTAAGGATATGATCTTGACCTGTTAAGTCTTCCGCTTTTTATGAACTCAGTGGGCTTACATAAGAGTCTTTTAAGTTAATTGTTTGTTTCTCCCATTCAATAAATGTTATCTTTGTCATTCGTGAGTCAGCGAAAACACAATGGCCAACACAGAATAAAAACAAAATTCCAAGAATTTTTTTGTCTGGAGGGCTCCATAAAAGAAAATAGTGGACAGCTAACAGTCAGTGAAGTTCAGCGTAGTTCTTCGACACCATTTAAACGCGCAGTCTATTCGCTTTTAGTCCGGCAGCCGGGTAAATCCTTCAATACAGAGCAGGTAAGGACGAAAACTCTATCTTAAGGACTTTTTTTTATAAACATGTATATCTCGTAGTTTATGATCTGACTAGTCTTAGCAAACTTTAAAGAGTTACTACTGACAGCTTACTGACGGAATTTATTCATATTGGATTGAAGTTTACTTTCCAACTTGAGTTATGGATAATGTTGGGGGAAGTTGTATCTCTTAGCTTTATCATTAATAGTCTGATATCACTTAACTTGTGAAATAGATAGCAGACACTTCTTCACAGTATTACACTCTAATTTCATTACTTTCTTTTGTTTAGTCGTAAACTATTGAGCACTAATTGTTACGAGATACTGCCGTCTACGGGTTACATAAAATCACTTGATCAAACTATCTCGATAACTATCAGCAACAACAAGTTTCTTTTTTCCTGTAAATACTTTTACGTGCCCAAAGTATGATAACACTGATTACCGGCTTTAAGCTGGGTCTTCAAGCCACCCTTCCTTTACTGAAGAGCAAAGTTCTCAAGCAAAAGCAAAATCTCAGGGGCACCCAACGGCAATTTTCGGAAAATATCTGTTCGGAAGACGATTCGAGATCTAGAACTTTCGGAACATTTGTTGTAAAATTTCTTGCTTGCCTGCCTCTCCTCGGATTTTTGAACATCTACAAAATGGTATAATCACCCATTTTTAACGGATTTTTTACCCTAAAAAAGGCCACCTAGAATTTTCGGGAGCATTTTCCTGGCTGAAATTTTCGAAAAGGTAACTTTTGATCCCTATAATTTTCGGATCACTAGACTTTCAGCTAGGAAATCCGAACAGATGAAAAGTTTTCAGGGGATAAAAATATGCCTATATCTACCGTTTAAATACTAAAATACGTTCAACAATGATATGTTAAGTGGTTTTGAACTATATCCTCATTGGGTGCCCCTGAAATCTATGCACCTTTCGGGAGCGACTACACAGGAAATAGGACCATGTACGAAGTCATTAGTACGGCTGTAGATACAATTGAGAACGATGAAGGGAGTTATTTTTGGTGGCCGTCAGCAGGCTTTTGTAGGTGGCTCGTTTTACTCGGCAGTGGAGGACTTGTTTGTTGTTTGTATACTGCGAAGAAACAAATGAGCCAAACGAACCGCTCGATGCCTGATGAAGTGTGCAAGTGGCCCTGCATTCTATCAGTGAATTTAAGCCGAGTTTCGAATTCGCAAGTTTAGAAGTAAAGCTCAGGAAAATGATAAATTTTTACTAGAAATGTAGAGTTTAACAGTATTTCTTTCAATTTAACGAAAACAGTATCGAAACTCAGTTGAGAATACTGAAGCCGATCTTGCTGTTTTATTCATGCCACCCTTATTTCACTGAAGCACCTAAAATGACCTAAAATGATACGTAAACAAATAGGTCATTCGAAGCTTTTCGAATTGCGGTGAACAGCTGAGGGTGGTGTTGAAAGTGATAAATAGTAATATTAAGGAGAAGGTCAGTACAGGATTATGATTTTAATTGCTGCATGCAACTGAAATGGCAGGCTACCAAAACCGTTTATTCGGTAGTACATGACGTCACAATTATTGGCTATACCAGATTGCTGTACACATGAATTTAGGTGACTCCTTCACTGAAGAGATAGCCCTCAAGTCTTTCTATTAAACATGTTTGTCGGACGGATTTAAAGCGGTATCCAAAATCATAGCTAGCAAGTTTAAGCAAAGTGAAGATTTTTCCTCAAAACATACCAGAAACAGATTTTTTTATAAGGTTTCTTTTCTAAAGCACTAGACAATCATTTTCTCCTCGTTTTTACTAAGTTATAATTTGAGAATTTTTCTTGGAATTTTTCCTGTTTAAGTTGTTACTGACAACTTAAAATAACCTCGCGTGCATTTCTTTATCTACAGCCAGCGGTTGAACTGAACGGTTAAGGAGATACCAGTGCAGAGTAAAATCTTCATTAACGGGAGTACTCAACATGTCTTCACTAATAACAGCTGTATTTAAAGCCACTATTGGCATGTTGGTGAATAAAGGAAGAGATAAACTGGCAGAAAAGTTAAATGAGGGTGATGTTACAGATCAGAAATTCCGTGGCCTGATCGTCCGTGAAATCGATGAAATAAAATCGAAGTTGGATGGTTTAGCAAGAACGCCTTTGAAGACAAGTATGAGCCTTTTTAAAGAAGGAATCGAGTTGTTGTATGAAGTGTTTGAAAGTGCCAGACCCAGTACCGAGAATCGCGCGATAGAAGCCGCTGCAACAGCTAGTGTTGAGCAATTCGATATTGCTAAAGAAATGAGGAAATTACAGCTTACTGCCTTGGATGAGTCGGCCACGAGGAAGCTTATCACAGCGAAGGAGACATTTAGTGAAGCTCGATTGGAAGCAATGAGAGCTTTTAGTAATGAAGCTTTGGAATTACCTGATCGCCTGTTAGCTATGCAATATCGACTGATGGCTACGATACTGAGGAATATTGACAATCCTACGGACGCATTAGCGGCTTGTAGAGTCTGCCTTGACGAGTTACACCAAGTGCCAGCTGTTAAAGAATATTTCAAAGTTGAGTTGGAGGAAGGATTGAGATTGAGGGCTCGCTTTAATAAAGACGAAAGAAGGCAAATAATTTTCTCTGTCTGTCACGCTAATCGTGTGATCTATGATGTAATGAGCATGCTCGGTAGTGTAAAAAGGTGGACTTTGCCTTATATGGAAACCGGGAAAGAGAAAGTGGATCCACTCCGCAACGAAAGAGTTGTTGAAGTACTGGCAAAACAAGGTAAGGAGCACTGCTGTGTTACACCATGGTCATTGGGTCAGGAGGGTGAAGAGGAGCACAAGCTGAAGATTCCGCGTGGTATCGCTACAAACCATAGAGGACAGTTCCTGATAGCAGACAATGGGGATAAAACCGTGAAGGTGTTTGATAGCAACGGAAAGTTTGATTTTAGGTTTAATCCTCAAACTGATGACGCCGATAAAAAGTTATATATTTTGGATGTCACCACTGCAGGCGAGGACAACAAGATTTATCTACTGGTCGGACTGAAGAAGCCTGGGGCTGAGGAATGGGAGAGGGAAGTTCGGGTTTTTAACAAGACCGCTGACCTACAGCATAAGTTTCTTGCGAAGAGCGGGGACTGGAACAGACTCACAGTGAGCAGCGCCAAACAACACGGCAAAATTCTGCTGTTGGCATTTGACTCAGATTGCGTTGTTCATGTTCACGAGCCGACAGGCGAGTTCATTTGTAGCTTTGGTGGGGGAGTGTTCGAGTATGCAACAGATATCACTGCTACTTGTGATGGTCGCGTCATGATAGTGGACCGAAACGATGACAGTTTGTACATATTTGATGTGGAGGGACACCAGCTTGGCAAATTTAATATCAAACATGAGAGAGATGTCTATTATTGCATTGCATGTCACCCGGTAAGTGACCAGGTTGTCGTTGCTGGTCATGAACGAGAGACATACCACCTGAAGCTGGCTATATACACTGTTAATGGCGAATTTGTTCGCAGAATTCAGCTGGATGAAAAAGGATATGTAAATGGCACAACAGTGACCGTGGAGGGTCACATTGCTGTGGCTTTTAGAGACAAGAGTACTGACAAAGAAAAGGTAACTGTTGTTTAAAACTAAAAAATTCGAAGACACAAGTCAACAGTTCTTATTTTACTTTCATGAATAAATGTCATCAAGGCAGATGTTTAAATTTAATGCTGCAGTTGATTGGAATCACTGGACATGACTGGTTACTGATGTTTGTAGTAAGTCTTCTGTTATATCGTCGCTCTAACCTTTAAAAGAAACCAAAACAGGTCAAATGAATGCGATACATGTACGACATGTGCAGTAAACACTCGCTAATAAGAACCTAACTTACATTTTTTTTTGAGGTATGGCAAAAAAGGTTCATTTATTTTGGGGTACGTTACAGTAGGTTCTTAATTAGGTTTTTAATTTCTCTGAAGGAGATGTACAGGGTGTCCCAAAAGTTTGTTCCTCTAATTTCATGCTCAGTATTAACTTTTGATCAAAACTTTATTTTTACATGAAATTTCTGTTTATTGCTCTATCAAGTACATGATTGTATTCAGAAGTTCAGTGAGCTGCTGGTCCCTTTTTTTTCTTATCACATTCTGTAGCCGTTGTGGCATAGAGTGGGATAAGTCACCGTAGCGTCTAGAGGCCAATATGAGCCACTTTTAGCTTTTTCATCACCTGGTACACAGGAGCCACTTTGACCCCCAAACAACATTTTTTAGATTAGGCAGCCAAAAAAATATTTTAAGCATTCATTTAAAAAAAAAGATAATCATCCTGGCGTCTCTCTGCAGTAAGGTTTTTTTACTTCTTTACCATGGAGACTAGCTGAACGTTGCTTGATGGACTGATCTGGACTGAGCAAGGTTTTTTTTGCCATCTCACTCGCCTTCAACTATCACTTTCCAGGAATTACTGCCCCAGACTTACCTTGCTACCTGTTGTGAGAGCCACCTCATTGAGTTGCCTTTTTTTTGCCCAGCCTATTTTAGAACTATTTTAGCTGCTTTATTCAGGACTTTATGTTCTCCAGCAGGTTCTCAAGCCACAGTTTCTTATTAGTGAGTGGGTGTTTACTGTAAGTACAGTAACATTCTTTTGTTTCTTTAACAATAAATTGGTGGTATAATAATATTTTTGTTTGTGCAGAATGTAAAATAATACAATCCAGATTCAGTTGGTTTACAAAAACATCCTCATCATTTACCAGCTTCTCTATAACTCTTTTCGTTAAAGATTCTGTATTTTAAGCTTAAAATGCTCTACATTGTAACTCAATCGGATGCCACATCAAAAAACACCTTTGAAATCTTCTCCAGGAAAAATATTTTATGATGCTCTCTACTTGATTTAAGCAGGCAATAATGTGATAACCCATAATAACCCATGCAACCAGCCGTCTTTTTGGTACAGGTGTGCAGGCTCATTCCCAAAAACATTGGCTGGTAATCAAGCCTATTAGTAAGATAATTAAGATTTTATTCCAACAATTTTCACTAAATAATTAAAGCATACATAGTTTCTGGGCAGTGGTTTTCCCCAGATTTTCAAGCAAAGCCAGCCTCTCTTTAATCCTAATGACACTAAACAAATGATCCAGATTTGAAACTGCCACATGACATACAGTGTATGATAAGGGGAGAGGGCTCCCTTCAGTTGACAAGCATCCCTGAAAACTGTTTTTGCCTGGATGCCACTGAAGTTGAAAATAATTAAAAAATGTTCACATCGTGTGTGGGCGCTATTTGAATGTAAAGAGAAAGTCTGTTTCATCAAGTTCTAGACGTGATACTATGTCTTTGTAGAACTGACTTCTAGCTTGTTGATGCGCCAAAATAGAGAGAAAAAGCCGATAGCAAAGCTCAAAGTGTGCTCTCCATTTAAAATCCATCATTACATGTATGTTTGGCTTGTTTGCGAAACCCACACAAAAATGCTAATGTCTGACCCAGAGACATCGCTGATGACCCCGTGTCTCTTGTCGTTGAGGCACCCGGACGATGACATGGAAACCACCTATCGTCCCAGTTGTCCGGATCATCTCAAAACTATTTTTAAACGACTGGGGTGATTGGGACGATCATATAGAAACCAGGCTTTATATATACCTATCTTCCCATAATAAACACTTAGAGATCTCCATCTTTAAAGTGATCACTGCAGAGTTTCACCTACAGCTGTATACTAACATTAAAAGCCGTAGTCAAGCTTAAATATTTTGATTCAGGTCAACCAAATTAAAAGACGATGTATGTATACCTCTGATTTGGCCTAAAGAAAATTATTAGCCAAACCTAAAACAGTTTAAAGAGAATTGTTAAGTTACCAAATATAAACTTACAATAAATATTTAATCATGCATTCTTTATTAATATAGCAGGCTATAGGTTCTGCAAAGCAGTCAAAGTTTTCATAAGCCAAACTTAATTTTAATTAAGGCCAACAGTACGTTTTTTGCCTGTGATTTAGATGCAAAACTTCATTATTAAAACAGTTCAAAGACATAACAAAATTGCCATTAATATTAAGTTACATTTCTATTATTTCACATGCAAATCATGAATCTGTCAGGGTTTCGTTAGAAAGTCAGTTTTACAGCTTGCCATTTGGACGAGCTGTATAGTACCTAGCATGTGCTAGCCCAATAGACACTTTAACCTACCCAAAAAGAATGTTTAACGAGCAGTGATTTTTCTTGGCCAGGGGAAAATCAGGAGACTTTGCAAGTGGTCAGGAAAAGACATAGGTGTTCTAAAGGTCTGTTAAAAGTCAGCCGCAAAGTTTATTTTCTGGTAAAGAGTTTTCAGAAAACGCAGTGAAAATCATTTTAAAAAAGTCAAAAACGAAGAGTAGAGTAATATTGATTTTTTGGGGGGAAATTTTTTTAGAAGTTTCTGCTACTGAATTAATAAACTCTATTAAACATAATTATGAACAACAAGCAAACAAAACCTCAGGAAAAAAAAGTTGTTTAGGGAGCAAAACAAAGCGAATAAGGTGTTGACTGAGAGTTTATACTTCAAGTTGTTTTTTGCATATTAACTTGAAAAGAAGCTATGACATCATTGCCTATAACAAAATGCTGTAAAATTAATATTAATGGCCTTGTGCCCAAATCTTAATCAGCTAACAAGGTCATTATTTAACCACTGCTAGGATTTTGTCGTATGATAAACATGTGGAAAAATGAAAAATATTAATGTAAACATGCCTATTCAAAGTTATTCATTTAATAAAGTTATAAGCAATAGATGTTTATTATTAATTGGATAAACCTAGCCTGGTCACGTCCAGTGAAGCCAACCAACTATATACATGTAGCAAAATGCAAAACTTTGCCTTTCATGACATCCATCACGAAAAAATCTGCACTGTTCACTTACCAGCTGTTGTGTCTTTGAGTTTATTAGTTTTAAGCAACAATTAATAATGAGAGGGTGTGTGAAAAGAAAATTGGTAACTTTTTTTAGATTTTTAGGTATTTTTAGGTTTTCTGATTTGACAGACTGCAATTTTTTTTAATTAACATGTATATAACACTAAATAATCTATACATTTGGTCTGGGACACAAAATTTCGATATCTAGATTAACATAATCAAAAATTCCTTGTTGAGCAAGACAACAAGAAAATGGCAGGGTGATTTTATTGAATAGCTGATGTTAGTTTATACAAGTGCCAAACTTTCCAATTACTTTTTAGGGGCAGTGTCATCAAGCTAGGTTTTGTGCTACTTCAAAATCCAACAAATGCATAATTATATCGTTATGGAAATCCACTGATTCATTATTTTCACATAGACCATAATGCACCTTGTTTGCCCCCAAAATTTTGCATCAACATTCTTTTCAATATTCAATATTTCTCTTGGGATGACTGTGATATCCAGGAGAAACTGAAAACAAAATGCAAAATTTTGGGGGTAAACAAGGTGCATAAATTATGGTCTATGTGAAAATGGTGAATATAGTAACATTAAAGGCCCCAGGGAAAAACTAACTAAAAAGGTCTAAGTTCCTTGATAAGCATGTAAGGCAACAAAAAAAAGGCAGGGTGATTTTATTGAATAGTTGATGATTGATAGTTTATCAAGTGCCAAAACGTTCCAAGTACTTTTTAGGGGCACGAGTGCCATCAAGGTTTTGTGTCACATGTACTTCAAAATCCAACAAGTACATATGTCATTATGGAAATCCACTTAATTATTCACCATTTTTCACCTAGACCATAATGGACCTTGTCTACCCCCTAAATTTTGCAGAACCATTGTCTTCAATTCTCTTTGGACTACTGTAATATCCAGGAAAAACTGGAAACAAAATGCAAAATTTTGGGGGGTAAAGAAGGTGCATAAATTATGGTGTATGTGAAAACGGTGAATATATAGTTACCTGAATTACATTTCTAGAAGTCATGAAAACAGTGTTTAACGCCGCAAGGAAACTTAAGTGGACTAATCCTTAAAAAAAAAATTGGGCTGATCCGTTTTCAAGTTTGCTGGAGTTCTTCATTCAAAGGTCATTTTGAGCAACTCTGGGCGAGGGTGCCTTCACTCTCCTATTAAGCTTGCACAAAAACACCTGTAGGCAGTTTTGATACTGCCCCTTAAATTGTCTTATAAAAAATTCAGCATTTAAATGGGCCTTAAAGCAAAGTATGTGATTTCTCTGGAGTATACATACTTTGCACAGAACACTTAGGGTTGGTTATTAAAACAAAGTAATAGAATGATATTTTATAAAATTTCTGGGCTCCACAAATAGACATTAAATGATTTTCCAGTCTGGCCTGGAAGTCTTTTGGATGCTGTTAACAGCAAACAATATTAATTTTATAGATATGTACACACAGTAAGGATGGTAGAATTTAAAAAATGACTTAGAATGCGAAAGTTCTGTTAAACACCAACTAAACTTTGTTTTAATAACCAGCCTTTAGTGTCAATCTCTAGTTTTACCAGTGGTGGATGCAGACCTTCAGATAAGGGGGGGGGGGAATGGTCTTCTTTTTTGGCCCTTTAGCCTCAGTTTGGTCCAAAATAAGGAGGGGCCTGGCTCCCCTGGGCCCCTCCCCTAGATCCGCCACTGTGTACCATTACAAAAGTACTTTTAGAATTTCGAGATCTACATGTGCCTTAAAAGGTGACATGTTTTAAGTTGGTTTTCGTGTCCAGTTTCTGCAAAAGTTTTACTAAATTATGATTTAGTTAATTTGTAATTATTATCTTTCGTGTGAACAAAAGAGCTACATGTACGTAATGGAGGTAATATTTCTTATCTCCTCTTAATTTGTGTTCGCCCTTTGTGGGTTTATAAACAATGACCAAGCGTGAGTACATGTAGGTCAAAGTGGCTAAAAATTGTTAGAGTTCTCAATGTTTTCATGAAACAATGCAAAGTTTGCGATCAACAAGATCTTTAACCTGTGTATACTAGCTGGTGGTTTCGTTTGTTGTGTTTGAGAGACATTTTTCATTACAAACCACAAATGAAAACACCCCCCCCCCCCCTGCACACAGCAAACAAACTGCTGCCAGCTGCGGTGCAGGCTACAAGTTCTTGTAAACTCAGTGTTTTGTTGCATGTTCTCCTTGGTTTTAATATATATATACAGGCATACAAAATAATTCTAATTATTTCATCAATGTTTTACATTGTATGCTTACCATGACTGAAATGCAGCATTGTGATAGCATTGGTATTATTTTTTAAAGAAATTTCTGTGTTTTATTTACCATAAAATTAAATGTGTCACTGGTTTACTTTTTTTATGGTACATGGTCTTGTACCCCAGCCCTTTAGAAGCTCTCCCGGTTGATGTCTGAACTAGGCTCAGGAGGGAGGGGTGAGGCATTGGTCAGAGCACTCGTCCTCCATCAATGTGGCCTGGGTTCCGGTCTAATGGTATGTAAGCCATAAATGGGTTTGAGCTGGTTAATTTCGCAAATGCACCAATGAACGCGCTGAATCAGGACGGATAAAGGTTAATTAATGAATTAATGAAAATCGCCCCCTCTCGAGGAAGGTGGCCCGCGCATGGAGCTCTCTTTCCTTCGCGCTTCACTTTTCTCGCGGGTGGGGAGGAAAATGAGAGACTACTAATAGGCAGATTATTAAAGCTATTTTCTTTCCTAATTTTTTTACTGCAAAAAAAAAAAAAGCATTGTAATGTATAGTTTTCCCTGGTATCAAAGCAGCTAGGCGGCGTATACTGAATTTCAAATGACTCATTTTTGAGGAGTGAACAGTTAGCTGCTAGTTGTTGTGTCAGATATTTTACGTGTTTATGGGGTGCTTTCTACAAACTCAAGACAAAATTCAAGCGAGGACACCCCAGACTGTAATTGGTACAAAATAACTAAAACAACTATCCAAGTGAGGATAACCCAGATGCCTAAAACAAAGTCAAAACAAGATTAAAGCAAAGAAAAAACGGCAGCTGATCTAACCTACGTAAAGAACGTGAGTTGAGCGACCTGTTGGACGGGAGGTTGAGCGTGGTAGAACAGTGAGTTGAGTGGCCGACTGCTGACATCTGGCAGTATGGTAGGTTATTTCTCTTGTAGCAGTGTGGAAGGCTCGGGGGAGGCGCGGGGGGGGGGGGTACGAAGTCCAACCCCTTACCCTTTTATATACCACTTTTGTCCAACGAGCCCGTTAACCAGTCAATAAACCGAACCCGGTAAGCAGACGACATTAACCTATACCACTTCATCTTTTCTAGAAACTGGACCCTCGTCCCTCAATACCGAGCCCGTCATCAAGTCTCCTCACTTTTAAGTTCCAGTCCCGCATTATAACTGTGTCGGATTTGATGATCCATCGGGCCCGGCTTCATTTTGTTAGTTAGTCGGACCACCGTAACTTTCGTGTTTACCTATCTAGGTCCCGTATCCTTACTGTTTTTACTAAAGTAAACGAGATCTTATTCTGAGAAGTGAAAAAAAGAATGTTTCTTCACGTAATTCGTTGTAACGCGCTTTGTTACATGTAACCTCTGATGTACACTTAAAAGCCGACATTGAGAAAAAAGAAGACGAACTATCATTTTCAGTAGATATTGAAGTAAAATAACGATTACATGCAAATTTTATTATTTTTTTGGAGAGGCTTAAAAGTGTTCAAAACGACTAGACGCTTTCTTTTCACTCACCGATTGTTTGCTTAAAAAGAGAGTGAATCATTCATAAAGTACTACAGTGGAACCTCTCTAATACGGACACTGGAGGGACAAAGTGGAGTGTCCGTATTAAAGAGGTGTCTATATAAAAGAGGTCACTAATAATAGATTTAGCCAGGGCTAAAAGCGAAGCTCTGGTTAATAATACGTGTAATCAAAAAAATTAAATCGTGTAATACTAAACGGGGACGACAATGAAAATGGCTTCAATACTAATAGAAAGGTGACGCACGAAGGAGAGAGAGTTTCGCGCGTCAACTTCCTCGCGGCTGGCAATTTTCATTGATTTAGCGCGTTCATTGGTGCGTTCGTGAAATTAACCAGCTCTAACCAACATATGGCGTACATACCAGGACCTGAATCCACGCCACATTGATGGGAGACTCAAGTGTGAATGGCCTTGCCCCGCTATATTTGAATTCCTTGTTTTCCTGTCATAATGAAATCTCCAGTTATTCCCTTAGGGATTCAAGGGCAAGCTAGCTATTCCACTGCCCTGCACCAATTATGTTAAAAACAGTTTTAGGCTTCATGCAGTACTGGGGGACAGAGGATATCTTTTAAAGTGGTATTTTTTTTTAAATGTCACCTTATATCATAGAGATTTTTTGACTCCCCCCCACCACCCCACCCAGTCTTGATGAGGAAAGTTAATATGGGCAACATGATGCAGTGGTGCAGAGATTTAATGTTAAAAAGACCCACGAGTGTGTGAACCCGGCCTTCTTTTAGTTCATAAAATGATAGAGCGCCGGGGGAAAATGTGCACTATGCAGTAATGCACCACAACCCATATGAACTTTGACGATGAATTGATGATGAATAAATGGAAAAAAAATACTACCGGCTAGCAAATCAGACTGTAAATTAGACTCAAATGTTCCAAAGGGGTGTACTTGACCATGACTGCATAATGCTTCAAAGTAGTGTTGCAGCTAGTTTTCTTTTTCTTCAAATTAGCATGAGCTTCAGTCACAATCTTAGGTAGTAAACTAATATTTTGAGGGAAAAATCTTTGAAATAACACCCTACATGAAAAGGAAGAGGAGATAATGGTTGGAATAGTTATGCCAGGATTTTAATTTTTTTCTGGTTGCTGAAGTGTTTATTGTACATGCTAAATTACTACAAAGGAGTAAAAAACCCAGATCTTCCCATGAGTAAGATCTTTATTCATATTATTGTCACTCTGATACAGGTACTTCAAAGACAAACTACCGGCATCTTCTTTTAGTTAATTCATCAT